CGGCTTCCCCACAAACCCATTAATAACATTGTGGACAAATGTTTGCCAGAAAACTACCTCACAAATGAGGACATTGAGAATTCAATGACACACATGAATCAAGGCAGGCCGTGTTCGCTGTCAAACAAGTGCCGCAGTGGAAAACATTAAGGATAAATTAAACTCAGGCCGCTGTCAGAGTGAGAGCATATGCTGCTCTCGCTCTACGGGGCGACTTTATTTCTTTTCCACTCAAAACTTTGTGAGAGGAGAAAAAAATAATGAGGGCAGATTGGTTTGCCGGGGAAGAAAATTATTTTCAGCAGATGTTTCATAGGTGCACAAGGAGAATGGTGGCCATAACAAATCACCACAACCCAGTCTGGCACCATCCATCTGTATGCTGTAACATCCTTCTGCTCCAGTACGAGACTGAGACATCTTTATTCATCTTCAGGGAAGACGGGTTTTCCAGATAGCATATTTCTCTCTGCCTCGTGGTCCATGCGAGAGCGTTTTGATTTACCTACAATGTACATGCACAGTGCATGTTGGCAAATAAACTACCTGAGGTTTTAAGTCGTTTCCTTTCACTCCTTCAATGTTCAGGGTCAAATTGTTTTCACTCGCTTCAAATTGACATCACACCCCAAAGATCTGACCAATGACAATACACTGAAGACGCCACGTACAGTACAGTGATCAATTCAAATACCCGGGAGGTATTCCTCCAGTTAATCCCTCCTTTCCTCCTGCCCCGTCCCCACGCCTCCTCATGAATATTGATAAACCTCCCCGCCGTGCTTAATGGTAACGCTGTGAAAAATGATGCTGGGTGTGTCACTTGCACATAATCTCCCAGAGGCTCAGTACAAAACTATGCAGCCATCACCGACGTGAAGATGATCCCATCAGCGAGAAGAGAATTAGAGGTCAGAAGCTAGAATGAAGGGAGCCTCCGTTCCTGGTGAGGCTGGATGATGATGATGGAGTTACATATTCATGTCAATGCTTGAAGCCAGCGAGCATGTGATGGAGTGACCAGCTGTGTGTGCATGCGTGTGTATGTGTCTCGGGAAAAGACCGTTTCCCTTGCATGATATCATCAGGGAGTGACGGCTCGGTTTTGGGCAGCGTGGAGGCATTGCAACACGCTGGGAAAATTCAGGGACCTTAGGAGGCAATTTGTTCCAAAGACCAGCCGTGAAATAAAGCTGTGCTTCAAGAGGTTTGACATCTGATCAGCTGATGCCAGTCGTCAGTGACATCTTCATATGTGTAGAAAAACAAATCCACAGACATTGAATTTCCTATATGACAAACGACACTGAGGTTCTAAAATGACTTGTACCGCCGCAGTACATGAGTCTGCATATTCAAACACTGGTAAAGTACTTTCAGTTTGTGAGGCTGAGATCACTACAGGAGATATTCTATGATAACAGATTGCCTCAGCCTTATCTACATCTACTTCAGTTAGCGGTTTCTTACATTTCCCAGAATGACTTGTGACAACCTGACAGAGAAAAGGGGTGAACTTGTTACTCAAAATGCACCCTGGGCTGCGGCTGCATTACATTTAAACAACAGTCTGAGCTGCCTCAGGAGGAGAAACTGGCGTCTGTGCCTCTTCTGCTGTAGATAATTCTGCTGTGATCGCTGAACATCAGTGAACAATGGCAGCTCTGGATTCACTTGGGTTGACAACAAACCCTGACGTGTACCATTATGTTGTAGATGTTTGTTTGTCCATCTGTGAAAAGAAAAGCCACCGAACTGCACAGTGGTTGAGGATTGCAAAGCACATCAGTGGTGGGTGATATTTGAATAACGTCAAGGCGTCTTTATTTGGATTTCTGCTCGAAATGTTGCTGTAGGCCGATCGAACATTACGAGGAAATATAACGACTCACAACAAAAAACTAAAACTGCTTAAAACAATCGGTTTTGATTCAGTGGCAGGGAAATATAATGAGTATTGAAATATAAACTGAGAAGCGGAAAGGAATATTTCAATGACAGGAATAAATCGAGTAGAGGAGGAATACATTGCAAAGATGGGATGTGAGTCAGTGTGATACTGGCTAATGATATTTTCAGTTTACAAACAGGTCCTATGGTCTCAGACAGTTTTGGACAGACAAAAACATCACCTCATGCTTTAGGCATTTTATAGTCAAATAGATAAATGTATTAATTAAGAAATAATCAGATGATTTGTGCATAATTAATATATGCAATTTTTGTAGAGCTGCAGCGATTGGATGGAAAATTTATAATTTCATCTTTTAGGAATTTTAAACATTTGCTGGTTCTGGCTTCTCAAATATGATGTAATTTTTTTCAGCTCAATATCTTAAGGTTTTGGACCGTCAGTAATAAAACCTGTACATCAACACACAGTAACCACCAGCAAACCATTTCACAACATTTCATTTCATTTATCAATTAACTGATTCATTTATAAAATAGTCAGACAAACCCTGAGAGTGAAAATACTCAGAAGTTGCAGCCAAAATGGCAGAAAGTCAAACTACAGCTTCTTCTTATTAACGTTGTTGGTTGGTGCACAAATCAAAAAAGGAGACAATGTTCTTATTTAAATTAAAAGACCATGTGGGGTTTTCATCCTCATCAATGCAGAAACACATCACCGCTCCACAGACAGACGATGATTATACAGAATCTAGTGATACTCCAAAACCTTTCATGTTTCCCCTTTTTACTGCATCCAATCAAATGTTGTTTCCCAGCGAGATCATTGCAATATCTGTGCAACGTACAGGCAGAAAAACAGCGCTCCCTTCAGAAGCTGCTTCATTTGCATCAATATGTGCACGAGATGCCTGCACATGACTTGAAGGGTATGACAGTGAGAATAATTGCCATGTCAAATCCTCTTGGGCTTCAGCATGTTCCTGTTGGTTTAATGTATGACAACTGCCAAGGTGACAAGCGAGCTGTCACAAAGCTGAGAGTGAGATAAAGCAGGAGACAGATTCAAATACTCTGCTTCTGTTTTCCAAGTAGTGACGGAGCAGTAAGAGTATAAAACACTGTAAAACACACTGTATGAAAATTGATTCTTTAAACTACTTGAATTTCACAGAAACCCAGTATAGATTAATCTACACAAAAGGGTTATCGCACCAACAGTCTGTGCTTTGAGCTGAGGGTTATGACACAGTAACCTTAGATGGATGTGGGCCCTCCCGCCACAGACGTTCCGCTAAATTAGGCTCACAACACTTGTGAGGCGTTAAAGGGTCAATTCTGCCTCTTCTCACAAATCCACATGGAAAGACAAAGAGCAGCGTTCTCCATTTTACAGAGAGAAAGCATGAACCCCCTCCACAGCCCCTGAGGCTCGGCTGAGGAGACTGTAGGTGATACGAAGGAGACTGCAGATTTTAAACTATGTGATGAGGACGGCAAATTCTCTCCGACCGGGACAAAGTGGCGAGGCAGTCTGAGAGCGCTCCTCGGCCAAAGAGACAGTCTGGATGACATACATCAACTGGCCTCTCAGCGCCGCGTTTGCTGAACATAACGGAGTGAATCTCTTTAACACAACTCTCTGCTGGCCTCCTGAAGGGGGGCCAACAGCCTGTGACTGCATTTGTTGCCGGGGATGAAATGAATAACCTTTCCGGCTAACCTGGCCGAGAGCAAGAAGCGTGTGGCATACAAATGACGACACTGGCCCTGCGGTGCGCGCTCGTTCATGCGAGAATGTAAATGGTGCCGTGATCGTTTTTGCATGAGAAATTTGGTGGCTGATGCATCTGAACCCCCCCACCCCTCCCCTCTCGCTCTTTCTTCATTGTTAGCAGACGGCTAATCTGTTTGGGTGCTTCACAGAAAACGCATTATTAGATTTTGATATCATTTTGCAGCATAAAAAAGGAACACACACACACACACACACACTGAAAAGGATTATCTTGAAGAAGCTTAATTGTTTCCCAGGCAACTAGTTCCCCACTAAGAAGATGACTGTGAAATTTCCGCTAGCGATTATTTTACTTTCAAATGACTTACTCGTGTCCTCCAGCTAAATCCTTCATGTGAGCCAACCTAGTTTTTTTTTTTTTTGGTGGGGGGGAGGTATGTGGGGGGTATGGGTGGTGGAGGGGGGTTGAAATAGATTAGAGTCCTCGAGGAAAACAACATCTCTTTTAGCCTCCAGTACAATAACAAAACTGGGCTGCGAGCTGGAATGAAAAGGTTAGCTCAATGTTTATCGTTAATGATGGTGGGGTTCTGATGAGACCCAGCAGGGGTGATTAATTTATGCAATAAACAAGGCTGTCTAGGGTGTAGTGATTCCAAATCACCAGATGAGACGTACAAAGACGTTTTTCCTTAATCATTTTAAGCAGGTGCCGATGAGCGAATATGGTCAAAACCAAAACGGTCAGTAAACATCAGCATCTCCCACAAGCGTCCTCAATCGTGCACAAGATCGGCTTCCATCTTCCCTCTAAATTTGCAGTGGAGTGCTGATTCAGAGAGTAATTAATGTGCTGTAATAAACAGAGCCTTGGTCAATGGTTTGTGTTATTTAAGTTAATAAAAGCCAAGAGAGACTGATGCACACGGGGTACGCCACTCGCTCGTGACCATATCTCTTCCTCAAAAGGGGCTGCGGCAGTAGCAGACAATAACCATTGTCTGCGGTAAATCCCCAGGAGAGCGAGGGGGGAACCACGCGAGAATCAAAAAAGGTTGTTAAAGTAACACTACCTCTCATTTTCCACCATTTCAGTGCGACCAGAATACTGTGATCTGACGGGCTGCGTTTTCAACAAGTGGTTGCAGTGTGCATTATGCAGAAACAGCCGCGCCACAATGGGCTACGTTCACTCTAATTCACCTGAGATTACCATCTCAAACAAAAAACACACACAAACAAGAAACCTTGAAATGGAGCCACATTTCTGCCGACAGCCTCAGCATCTGCACACACACGGGCCTATGAGTTATTTGAGAAAAGGTTTGAAAAGATAACTCCTCCTTACCTGCAGTTTGGAGGGGGGTCTAGTGTGATTTCTGCAAGCTCTTTCTGAATCCTGCAAGAGACCGATTTTCAGAGTTAAAATCTTTGTTTAGAAAAGGGAAATAGACAGAGGATAAAAACTGAAAGTGCAAGTTTTTCTATGTGAGGAGGAAATGTTTTATCTGATCCTGAACCATGTGCACCGCTAGTAGCATGAGTGGGTTTCATGATTTGAGTGTGGTGTCCATATGAAAGGCAGATATTGTGAAAATAAAAAAAACAGGATTTTAGCTTATTTGGAATAAAAATTGTGTCAAGGAAGAGTTCATGTTGCAACGTCTGCCTGACTGAAAGCAACCTAAAACATGAGCTCTGATTATTTGCAGCAGGTAACAATGCAGAATGATGATTCAGACTGTGAAGGGCGGATGAGTCCAAAAAAACGCTGCCACGAAACTCACATTCACATAAACACGGCACTTCAGACAAAACCGCTGAGCCTCTCCGTGTTGCAGCCCGTTGTGCTGAAGGGACTCGACGAGGCTGCTTTTAAGAGAAGCTCAGACGTACAAAAAAAACGGGAGATGTTCACAACATCAGTGGTCGTTATAAAAAGACTCTGCAGCCTCAGTCAACCCTTCGCTCAACTGGTTGCATAATTCTGTCATTGCCTGTCTTTTTTGGGAACAAGTGCTAAGACTGGTTTGAGGAAAGTGTTGGTGGTGGTGTTGTTGGCGAAGGAGGAAGAGAGAGAGAGGGAGTGCTGCAGAGCATGAGGCAAACCTGTTCAAACAAAAAGGCTGGAATGAGGAATATCTCTTTTAAATGACAGTCCAGTGCCCGAGCTGTGTGAGTTACCTCCAGCCTGTGGGTTTACTGTCCCACTGAAGAGTGTGAATGTTTGAAATGACAATGTCTGCAGGCCTATAGTCTTTTTTAATATAACTTCACAGCCCCAAGGCACAAGGGGAGAGGCCTTTACTTTAACAAACAACTCCTGTGTAAACGCTTCTCTCCAGATTCAGGCTTTGTTTTTTTTACCTCTTGGCACTAGTTGAAAGTTTAGCAGCGGTTTTACTCGAGATCTTGGTCTCCTTCTTTTTGGGCTGTGCTTGCTCTCGCTCCTGCTCTGGTACCGACTCCCTTTGTTCGATATCCGAGCTTCCCCCGCTGGTGCTGGGGCTGTCATCCGGTCTCTGCACTTCGCTGGACATCGTGGGCCCTGGGAAAGCGAACGGCAAGTAAATACGATGTCAGATCAAAGTCGTCATCGCCGCAGAAAAGGAGGTGGGATGGAGGGGGTGTGTGCTGATGAAAAGAAGTTTTAAAAAAAAAAAAACCTCTTTTACAACAAAATTAGTAGGAGTGGGTTTGAAATCAATCTGCTTCAAAAGGCGATTCGCTTCTTCCTCATTGCCAGTAAAAGTTTTCTATTACATTTATTCGACGGCACCGAAAACTGAGAAGCTCTTTGCCAAATTAGCACGTTTCTTCATTTCCATCGACTCTGAACCGATAACAACCTGTTTGGTCTGCTGCAGAAACCCGGGAGTGAATGCAGACTGCAGACAAAAGCCAGATGTTTGTTGGTGTCAGTGGAAAAGGAGCTAAAGAAAGATTTTACTCTTGAGATGCGTCAGATGAATTATAAAATCTTTTACACAAAAAATAAACAAGTATATGAACAAGTATATAAAAGGCTATTGACTCTTTTTCCAGTAGAGGATTTTACCTTTCTGTTTTTCCCCCCGTGCTTCATGTTTGATGCCAAATGAGACACCCAGGTGTCTCGTGTCCATCGCTGCTGATAAAAACTTGCGTCTACAGCCGAGTCATTTGACCCCGGAGTGAAGGCCGCCTGTAACCATTCCCATTACAGACAGAAGCCAGATGTTAATGGGTTTTTTGACCAGTGGGTCTCACAAACCATGAGCTGTCATGGTTTGTGAGACTTTACTTGAGTGGCTTTACTGGTTTGCATTTACAAAGACAGTCTGTAAACATCAGAAAAGGATTTGATGTGATTGTGGGTCAAAGTTGTGACCCTGCAGGGTTGTTTCCCCAGAAAACAACAACCATCAATACAAGACCAGAACATGTTACAGGTTGTTGTTTTTTTAAACATGAATCCAAAGCAGACAACAAAGAGCAGATGTGATTGTTGTCTGAACATAAAGTGAAGGTTTGGATCGGGTGAGAAGTTGATGAAGTAGCGGACAGCTGGCCTTTCCCGTGGGGGGCGTTTCACGGTGATGATGCGGACATCGACGACTGAACCCGGTTCGAGAACCGTGTGAGCTGACCCCCCCCCCCCCCCCCCCCCCCCCCCCCCCCCCCCCCCCCACGTCAAGATATCCACAGACACAAGTTACAGTCGGTT